CAAGCGGCTCTCGATACGGCACACCCTAATCACAATATCACACCAAGACGTCCGATCACTACGGCGGCTCCAAACGATTGCGTTTAATCCAATCAATGGTAATATAATATGTAATATTATACTATAAATCTGAAGAGATAGTATTAGTTTATTGAAGGGTTTAAAAAAAATGCGATATCGGCTTTTATTAAGAGATTTGTAGTTAAAAAATTATAATATCTTAACATATACATTAGCCGTTATCTTGATTTTAAAATGTACGAAAATATTACTAAGCTATAGTAACCAGTAGTATCTACAAGCCTTCATACTTCGGAACTAACCAACTTTTTTAAGATCCACTCTTTCTTAATATCGTGATGCACTTAAATGACTTCAAACAATAGTAACGAAATTCGCTTATTACTTTAACACTAATGATAAAACATTTTTCCTAGTTTTGTTTATTTAACGATAGGTATCAGAGTGACTTCAGATTTGGATACATTATTTGTTCTTCAACTATATCTGAGTCATGACAGGCCAAAATCAGACGATTCAAATGCTATACTATCATCATTACAAGCATTAGTATCCAATACTAATTTCGCTTTTATGATAAGTAAGTGTGGGACGAAATGTATATATTTGTTGGTATATAAATATTGTTCATATATACTTATGATATGTTAATATCTATTTTTATATATGAAATAATTGTAAGGATGTATTTAGAAGTACTGCACTAACGCTATTGAATTATACATTTTCTTAGCAAGCGAATTTTAATATGAGCTATTGTTGATTGCGTTTCTCAACAAGGTCGCGTATTGTTACAGATAAAAGAGAAATCGTCGTACTCTCTCGTTGTAATCATTATGAGAATTTCAGCTAAATCCATAGTATACTCCGTCCGGTGATATGTGTTATTTACTTCATCATTATTATTGAAAAACTGTTTCAAACGAATTACATTACTCATATTGTATCTAAGAAAACCTAATAAAGATTTAATTTCTTATACGAGTGGGATTAAAAATACAAATTAACACCCACCATCCAGTTGTTTAGACTTCATACTTATTCAATGATTTTGTAATCCTTGCTTGAATTTTGGTCTCAATTTTCGATACAACCTTTAGTATATATTAATTTTCATATAAAAATAGTTTCATTAGTTATATGTTTACATAATTATGGTGATTAAATGTAAGTGAGAATCTTTATTCATCATCGGAAATCCATTTGACCTTGACTCGTGACGTAAATCCGGTCACTTGATAACGTCATATTATTTTCCTCAGAACAAAAGACCTGTAAGTTGTTATACTCGTCTAAGAATTTTCATTGTTCGCCTTGAAGCGATAAGATAATGTAGGACGTCCTATTTGTTACACGTTTTGTATTTATATTATTTTTATTTATATTGAATTGTAATCGGTTTTTTGTTATTATATTATAATTTTCTTTGTTTGTAAGGCAAAGTCAGTCACATTTTAGACGATTCCGATACGTGAAGAAATCGGTAATCGAAATAAATAGATACTTAAAACATTATATTTAGTCAAAAACTGACTGACTACATAGCCACTTATAACTTATATGATTTTGAGTAAAATATACACAAACAACCAAAACAACATAGTTCATTTAAGTTAATTATTAGTTAAGGACCCTTAAAAAGAAGAAAATAAGAAAGAACGGTCTGAATTATTAAAGTGGTTCTTGATTTTCTATTAATTTAAATCAATAAAATCTATTAGTATCTATTTAATTATTTAAACGTCACTACTGTTGCAAAAATATTCTTCATTCGTTAAATTCATTCCAAGAACCAGCAATATATATTTTTTCAAATGCCAATTTAACATCGTTTAATAACTTAATTCAACAAAGGTCCGTAAATCGCAACTCGACCCGTAGGTCGCATGTAATTTAGATACTTTCTGAGTCATCGAATCAACTACATCTGGCTATGGTCTTGCAATTCTTATCGAGCTAATAATGTATCGACTAACATCAAAACATTCACGATTTTTTCTTTAAAGTAATATTAAAACATTAGTATAAAACTTACAAAAAAATATACCTACTTACTAATGTTTTTATCTGAAATCAAAGTTACATTGATAATTATCAAAAATATGTCTGAATAAATATAATTTTACTGTATAATACTTTTATTCAAATACGTTTTACCTTTAAGTATACTTAGATATTATTCCAATAGCCTCGGGTAACAAATTAGATTTATATTCGTGGTTCAAACGATTAACATTAGCTCATTGTATTGTAAATAAAATATTTAACACGTATAACTGTAAAACATCTGTATACACATTATAAATGTTGGTTAGTTCCCATGTTGTGAGTCAGCGTTGGGTCAAGTTAATGCCATATATGTATGGCTATTTTATTAGTACATTTATAGATACGTATTGCATTAGACATGTTACTTACGTCACTATAAACTATTTAAATGTTTACGTCAGTTTTCTATAAGTTACATCTTCAAAACAATAAGAAAAAATATATTTTGCTGAAAGCCTATATTCTATGGGAGTCTCGCGTATTGTTCATTTTAATGTATACGCCGAGGTCTAAAGATTTTGTCAATAACTAATTGTCAATAGCTTCTTTGGGTTAATTTGTTTGAAGGGCGAGGTTTGAGGTTTTCAGGTCAGGCTGATTTTATATTTGAAACCGCAACCATTGGCTTCATAAGTTAAAAGCTTTATAACCATATAGATAAAGTTTAAATTTGTTTAAATTTATTTCATTAAGAGGATTACTTTTGTCATCTATTTGTAATCTTGCTCTAAAAATGTCAATGCTGGTCGTGAAAGACAATTGTCTATGGTTTGACCTCGACTTTGAGTAACAAAAATGAACACGTGTTTAGCAAAAGCAATGATGAATGAAATAAAAAATCCATATATTAAATATTATAATTAAGTGACTGTTAATAAAATCGAAAGTATCCCTAAAGACTTTTTAAAACTGTTACTAAGATACAAACAATGATCTCCCCAAAGAATATAATGAAAGTCAACATTCCCAAAGACGTTTGAATCATCTTTAATTCCCTTATTACCTAATTTATTCTATATTATAATGTTATTTTATTCAGTACGCTTTCTCTCAATCTTTTCCGTGTTTCAGATCGTGTCCATTTATTTCCGCTAGGCCTTTGTTTGTTGTTTCGTTTTGATCTATTACCTAGATTTTGTTTATTTGAGTATTTTTTGTTGGGTAATTTATATACATTATTTTATGCCTATCGAACTGCATATGTTATATAAAATATTATATATTTCAGCTATTTAACATGTCCGCGTATATAAAAGTCTTACGTGTTTCGAACATTTCTACATAACTCGGTGCTTTTATTATGCAAGATGATATCTATTTCGATCCACTCAATTACCGGTGATATTAAAATGTGTTATGATAGTACGTAATGTTTCTTTGTGATTTATTTTGAGATAACTACTCTTTTAACTTTCACTGTAATAGGAAGTTGTTTGTATGCAGTCCTTTATTCCTTTATTTAATATTAGCTTCTGAATGACGTTCTGTTTTGATGTTCAATAAATTTGTTTTAAATAAAAAGTTATGTCCTAGAAAGTGTTTTTAATGTTATAACAATAAAATCAACATACTGCCGTATCTTTAAAATTTTATTGATTGATGTGTGAAGTAAATTTCTTTATTAAATAAAACGAATTCAATATTCAATATATAAGTTTCCAGACGGTCGATTATTTCGTATCAGATTATAAAATAATTACATTCGTTATCGGTAAAGTAAAAACAGATAACCCTAAAGTATATTTTACAAAGTGAAAAATTATCAGCAGGTTCAATGGAATAATTTAGAAATGGAGCTATAAAATTTATAAGTATTTGATATAATAATATAATTTATAACTGATTTCATGACATCACTTTTATATCTAATAAAACGACTTTCATTTGTTTTTGTATCTATACAGGGTGACTGGTGAATTACTATCGATACTTGACGACCTGATATTTGACGATCATATATGACAAAATAAAAATTAATATAACATAAATAATAATAAACTTCTAAGTAAAGTTAACCAAAAGTTGTGTAATTAATTACGCATCGTGTGAACACCCTACAGATTAGGTATACTCACACACACACAAACACATACGCGTGCGGCGGCGTGGTGTTGTATCAGCACGCCGCCGCACGCGTCCACACTTGGAACACTTGGAACGTCTCCACACTTGTTTATTTATACGGAAATTTGGTCAAAAATTAAGTAGCTATTTTTTTTACATAATTCGAATGAGAATCATGTACCGAGTATTCTCCTTAAATATTGATAGTAATTCACCAGTCACCCTGTATATATAAAATAAAAAAGTGCTCTACTTTGTTTGAGTATGTAAGTGTAAAAGTACTTATCACATAGAGAAATGTTTATAAACAATACCAGTTGGTTAATTTCAATGGTAATGTATGTGTGTTTTTTCGGAAGCGTACACCGGAACGGCAGCTGTGTTGTCGCGTTCACAGTCAGTTGTTTTTAAATGTATTTATTCCCTTTACCAGCGTACACTATTTTTAGACGCCTGATCCAAAGCACGAATGATAAAAGCAATTTAAAACATATCTCGAAAGACCAGAGCGAATCTCTTCCGTATAAACTTACGGTACATTTTATTAACGAGGAAATAGCAAAAAATATGTACAGCAATAACAAAGTGTATTAATTACGTAACACATGAAAGTGTTACAACGAAAGTGAGTTCAGTGTTTTGATCTCCGTTTTATGTTATCGTATGCTGTAATACATTTTTACTTTTACGTAATTTCACATGAAACTGCACTTTTTTTATCCCGTAATTTATATTATTCTAGCGTACGTTTTTGTTAGGATTTTAATTAGCATTCGTCGTATTGTTTGTATGTCACTTAGATTTAGATCGTGTTGCGAATTAAAAGTAGTAATGTATTATGATTCAAACTTTATATTACAGTAACAATGACAATGGATAAGCAGTTGATATGGGTGAGGGATCCCAACGATGGTTTCATCCTGGCTCGTCTCCACGAGCTGATGGGTGAAGAGGCGGATGTTCTACCTATCGACAACAAACACACGCGCCGCCTCGTCAACTTCGATGACATACTACCAGCAGGAGATCCGGCCGTAGATGTCGATGATAATTGTAAGTTATGAAGTCTATACAATATAAACGAGATTATTACTATAGGTATATGTATTATAAGTAGCTGATCCGGCAAACGTTCTTTTGCCATATAAGAACATAGGGGTTGGTGATAAAAACATAAAAATTAAGGGTTGTATGTATTTTTAATGCTTCATTATAAAAAATAAAGACAAAAAATTGCGTCCAAAAATTAAAAAAACAAATTAGATAGAAGAATTCTTATCGCTGAGTATGAAAAATAGATAGTATCCGACTCTCAGACCTACTGAATACGAATATAAAATTTGGTAAAAATCAATAAAGCCGTTTCGGAGGAATACAGTCACTAACATTGCGACATTGAAATTTTATATATTAGATTAAGACGCATAATAATGCTCAATTCATAACATAAGTATTGACAATGTTTAAGTCTTTGTAACGGTACAATATCCTCTAATGAATTTGTTTCTCTGTACATCAGCTAAGTCAAAACTTTATATGGCTACATTGTATTTGTAATTCAACCGACGCGTACGAGCTATGAACGTAATTGTCTTACAAAAACTAGTATACCCTTACTAATGTAAGATGCGAGGATAATTGTGACTCATTCTTATTCACCAACCTCGAGATATATTTGCTAGTATGGCTAAATTCAAGCCATAAATATGCTTATAATTTATTTATTTTTTCTCAAATTAAAACAATATTATTTAGATTCCGGAGAAATTGGTTTCGTTAAAAATGTATTAGATTAATCGTCGTATATAATGGAATAAATATATAATTTTCGCCAAGTATACATTTAATAAAACTGTTTTTTGTAGAAACTTATTTCATTATTTTAATTATGAGTTTCGTTATTTCGTAATAGATATTTTAATTATATCTTTGTTATGAAATAGACTTATTAAAAATATATTTAGATGTTATATATTTATAAGAAATAAATGTTTAATTACAGGCGAACTAATGTTCCTGAACGAGGCTACGCTTCTTAATAACATACTCGTCAGATACAATAAGAAAAAGATATACGTAAGTATTTGAACCTATTTATAATATATATAAATATTAAATACCTAAAAGCTTTGAATAGTTTTTTTACTAATACCCAATTTAGATAACTAATATTTGATTAATCTCTGGATTCAATATCGTAAAGTAGTCAATTTATTTATAGAAATTTTCACCAATATCTGGCCCATATAAATTTATAACAAAAACATGAACACATATTTGGCATTTAAATTTTTCCATCGGAATTCACGACGTTTACAACGACTATGTTTATATTTGTTTAGTGAATAACACTGCGTACAATATATTACAGTCACTCCACAGTTGTAAAACATTTTATATTTTTACGCTAACAGAATATTTATGAAGTAATTTGAAAGAAAAAACTTCTAATTGCAATGTTCACTCGTCTTTATCACCTTGAATTAACTGCACGCCAACTTATCGATTAATACGTACTCTTAAAACATATAGAAGGAATATTTAAGTCGAGAAATAGAATTATTGAGTAAATGAGCTATTTTTCTTTATTTTTGGACTCCTTTAACCTTTTTTGTGACATTTGTATGACCTTTAACCCCCCCCCCCCCCCCCCCCCCCCCCCCCCCCCCCCCCCCCCCCTCAACGTGAAATTTGCAATCTTATTGTTATAGTACTAAATTAATTATTCTCATTCACAAAGAACTTTTTTATGTCATGAGATTTTTTTGTATCCGTTATTAGAAATGTGAAAGTAGGTTTCATATATTATTTTTGATGAATAAAATTGTTATATGTATATATGTATTTTTAGCCCATTTTCATTTATTACTGTCCTGGTATAAAATTAATAATACCGAAGCTATATTTTGAAGTCACTTAATTAATTTGATACAAGTATCTTTTCCCTATTTATATAATTATATATATTTCAGACGTACGTAGCGAATATACTGCTAGCAGTGAATCCGTACGAAGATATTCCAGACATGTATTCTTCGTCTACCATCAAGAAGTATCAAGGGAGATCGCTTGGTGAATTGCCGCCTCATGTCTTTGCTATAGGTATTAATAATAATTCCTATACACAATTTGCATATTTTATGGCTTTCCTTGTATAGCACTGATTAAATGTAACACAATCCTGATATACTTGTAATTTAAGTCAGATTTTTATCAATATACGTTTGAGGAGTTTAATATAAAATATATACTATTTCAGCTGACAAAGCCTTCCGTGATATGAAAGCGTTGAAGCAGTCTCAGTCGATTATAGTTTCGGGAGAATCGGGTGCTGGGAAAACTGAATCTACAAAATATATATTGAAATATCTCTGTGATTTGTGGGCTAAGGGCGCTGGGCCAGTTGAACAGAAAATATTGGATGGTAAGCAATTTCTGTATTTTTTTACATTATTGGTATGAATTCTATTGGTTTCTTGCTTTTGAAGTTGATAGTCCCTGGTTTTAATCTCGTTTATATATTGCCAGTATAATAGTTTTCTTTGGTTACGATTGTGTCGTAGGCAATTTTTTATGGTCCAAATACAATTTTTTTTCATTAATATTTCAGCCAATCCGATCTTAGAAGCGTTCGGTAACGCAAAAACAACACGCAACAACAACAGTTCCCGTTTCGGTAAATTCATGGAGGTTCATTTCTCCAACAAATATCAAGTAGTCGGTGGTCATATATCTCATTATCTGTTGGAGAAATCAAGGATTTGTACCCAAAGTGCTGAAGAGAGGAACTATCACGTGTTTTATTTGCTATGTGCGGGGGCGCCACAGGAATTGCGATCCGCATTGAAAATAACCAAACCTGATGATTATTTAGTGAGTACATGTTTGGAGACTAAATACTAACAAATAAACTACATATATTTATGCTTATAAAATTTCTCGTTTTTGTTCAGACTCTACTGTCTTGTTTGGTTCTTTGTGTATAACTAAAATTATGTATTAAATTCCATTTATAGATAAATATCTTTGGTAGAAATCAGAATTTAAATTGGTCCATAAAATATCTCATTTAGAGAGATTTATTGTTTTAATTATTTAAAGAGATGTAAGTGTATTTAAACTTTAATTAATGTTTTAGTATCTGAAGAACGGTTGCACTCAATACTTTACGTCTCCTCAATCTGAGAAGAAAATACATGCAAGTCAAAAAAGCAAACAACAACAAGCAAAAGGCGGTCTTCGAGACCCAATATTGGATGATGTAGAAGATTTCCAAAGATTATACCAGGTGAATATAAATCATTATTTATAAGTTAAATTTTATTCATCTTATATATGTAATATTCTAAAAAAAATAGCCTATCAAATATATATCTTTATATATATAATTCTTCCGTGAGTGTGTATGTCACTGAACTTCTCTCAAACGACTGGACCCATTTTGATGAATTTTTTTGTGTGTGTTCAAGGGGATCTGGGAATGGTTTAGATTCACAATTTTGTCCGCTGGACAATGTTTTTTTAATTAATTTTTAATTTATTAGTAGTTGTTGATACAAACGTGTTTTTTGACATTAGATTTGACAACTAACTAATATGTCAATCATTCTGTCGCACTTCAAAACACGGAGTTTTATGGCTTTAATGGGTAAACTCCAAAAGTATAAATAAAAAAACGTAACAGATATTTCTTGATTATAGGGCGATACGAAGTTCGCCGGGTCTTCTAGTATTTTTATATTACACCATCGTAACTATTTGTAAATATGCTTTTCTTTTTTTGCAGGCCTTATCCCATATAGGTTTATCAGAATCCGAAAAGAAATCGGTGTTTTCTATAGTGGGCGCTGTATTACATCTTGGTAACATAGAGTTTGAAGAAGATGGCGGGGCTAGAGGCGGTTGTAGAGTCACACCGGATTCTGAACAAGCTCTAGCTACAGCCAGCGAGCTATTGGGTGTTGATGCTGGGGAATTAAGAATGGCTCTAGTGTCTAGACTGATGCAGAGCTCTAGAGGAGGCATCAAAGGAACTGCTATCATGTATGTATATTTTTAACTTATATTAGTAATTTTTTATGTGTTATGAACACTATAATCAAAAGTTGAGACGGAGATATAAGTTAGTAGAGGTAGAAAGAGATAGAGACATTTCTTCTACTTCTTTTACTATAGGCTAATATTGCGATCATTTTTTTCTCCTTTTGTAGCAAAAAAAATTAATTTATCAAGGAAAACAAACATATTAGTACCTAATTTAAATGTATATTAAGATTCTGTTCCTATTAAGATTTTACTTACCATGATGTCAGCTATATGTTATTTGTACTAACGATCCTTTCTATATACAGGGTGCCCCTCAAGACGTATGAAGCTTGTAACGCGCGCGACGCCCTAGCCAAGGCTGTATATAGTCGACTGTTTGACTCTATAGTGAGGAGGATCAATGATAGTATACCTTCTAGTACATCCGCGTATTATATAGGAGTACTGGATATAGCTGGGTTTGGTAAGACATGTGATGTTATATGATTTTGTTTAATATTAAACGTCTTTTCAGTAAGTGGTTCCATAATATTATGTAAGCTTGAATATAGCAACAAATTTTACTAAAGAACTTGTACTGTGTCATTAACTGTGATGATAAAATTTGAGTCTATTACTATATTTTTATAGAGATTTTATTAACATTATAAAATTATTTAAATTAATTATTGTAAGAGATTTGTTCATTAAATTATTTGTCTGTCAATAGTTATCTAAATAATAATTTACAGAGTACTTCCAAATGAACAGTTTCGAACAATTCTGTATCAACTACTGCAATGAGAAACTACAGCAGTTCTTCAACGAACGAATCCTTAAGAACGAACAGGAGTTATACAAGAGAGAGGGCTTGAATGTACCTGAGATAAGATTCGTTGACAATCAGGATTGTATTGGTAAGACAACATTTTTATTCTTTACTAGCTGCGTCCCGCGGTGTTACACGCGGATTTCCGGGATGTAAAGTAGTCTATGTGTTATTCCTGGACGTCAGCTTCCTGTATATAAAATTTTATCAAAATCGGTTCAGCCGTTTGAGCGTGAAGAAGTAACAAACATACATACACACTCACAAACTTTCGCAATTATAATATTAGTAGGATAATAAGACGAAATCTTTTAGCAATCCATGTATTCATGGTGTGGGTGCCGGGTTCATCGTTACAGTGAGAGGAGCTTCAACAGTGCCTGGGACTTGCGACCCAGGTGTAGGTTTAAGGGGCCCCTATCTAACGCGTTAAACGCTCACCTCCACCATTTAAGGTTCTTTCTTTACCTAAAGAAATTTAAAAATAACCTACTAAAGCCTTCGGAGTATGTTCTAAGAACGAATTAATATTATTTCAGGACAGGCCCAAGTCTTTTAAGTAGCTGAAATTTACTAATTATGTATGAAGCTCCTCTGTTACATATCAAAATATATAATAATATTATTATTATTTTTTTTGTATTTCAGATCTCATTGAGAGCAAAAACCACGGTATCTTCCACTATCTGGACGAAGAGTCCAAATTGCCGAAACCAGATTTCGGTCACTTCACGAACTCAGTTCACAAGGAACTCGGCAGTCAATCTAAGTAATTTATACTTATATTAACATTATTCCATATTATAAGTTATAGTTAAACTCCATTTAATAACTTTATATTTAAATTATCTATAACTTGCTAGCTGTTGCTCGGGACTTTATCAACGTTGCAAAGAATGACCAACACATTAATCAATACGTCCTCATAAAAATACTAGGACATTGCCTATTATTAGAGACTTACAAAACTGAATATATTGCCAAAATCCTTTATAATTTCGTAAGACGCAATATTGAATGTGATTCAATTCATTATCATCCTTAATTTCTGTGTGATGCGGTACATATTTCAATGATTAAAATACTATATAATACAAGTGTTAGACAATTATCAGCCTTAATAATTAAATAATACGGTATATATTTCCAGTTCCCGTCTGAACGCTCCCCGCGCGTCCCGCCTCAAGGCTCACCGAGCTCTTCGTGAACACGAAGGATTCCTTCTGCGACACTTTGCTGGAGCAGTTTGCTATAACACGGTACTATTGAAATTGTAATATTAAAATATTCTTTTAACATTGACCCTTTAATGATATCTAAGATCGTAAGTACTCTTGTAAATTTGTAATACAGTAATTTAAATTATTTTGATTTTCTTATTCATAATTTTTTGCAGTACGATTTTCACTTTAATCTTATCTGCTAACGATATGTTTTATATTATAAACTATATGTAATATATCATGAATTCCTAACACTTTACTAATATACTTTATTTTTCTAGAGTCAATTCATTGAAAAGAATAACGATGCCCTTCACGCCTCGCTAGAGTTCTTGGTGCAGGAGTCTAAGAACACTTTTGTACAACAACTGTTTGAAAACACAGACAACAGCAATGCTAAAGGGAAACTCAACTTTATATCAGTGGGCGCTAAGTTCCAAACTCAACTGTCACAGCTCATGGAGAAATTGAAAGAAAATGTAAGCACTTGATAGTTTATATTAATATATTAAGGCTTTTATACATAAATTTATGAGAATTTATTCGTCTTACAATAATTTTATAATCCGTCTCTTAGTTAACAAAATTTGTGTAGTTTTTCACGAGTTTTTCTTACAGGAAATTTTCGGTGGTGCTTTTTGTTTCAAATAAAAAATATCTATAATTTTTAACATTATAGAATCAATTATTAATCAACTTAAAAATTTTAGAAACATATTTGCTTTACTGAAAAACCTGGCTCCAATACCATTCATCTATTAATCATTTTTTTAAATAAATTACCTTCTCTCAAGAATGTTCCTATACCAATATTGTAATATAAATTAATTTGAAATATAATACATTTTCACCACGATTTATTCATGTTTATATATTTATATATAATTCCCAGGGTACAAACTTCGTCCGTTGCATTAAACCCAACTCTCGTATGGAAGGCGGGTCTTGTTCCGGCTCGCTAGTACTCACTCAGCTACAGTGTAGTGGAACTATCGCCGTGTTATCACTCATGGAACACGGTTTTCCATCGCGGGCTCCATTCGCTGACTTACACCGGCTTTATTCTGACTACCTACCACCGAAATTGGCGGGACTACAGCCTAAAATATTCTGCCAGGTAAAAAAACATTCAGAGGCTACAGAATTTGATATACCTTCATTCATTCTTATAATAACATAATCTAGAAAAATCTATTCAAAATTCATTTCAAATGTGACAAATATCCATCTAAAATTACCCAATAATAATTATAGTGCATTTTTTTTATAAACCATTAATTTTCACAGGCAATAGTCCATAGTTTCGGTCTATCAGACAAGGACTATAAGTTCGGTATAACGCGAGTGTTCTTCAGGCCCGGCAAGTACTCGGAGTTCGATACTATGATGAAATCAGATCCTGAGAACCTCAAAGCAATCGTGGACTCGGTCTTGGCCTGGCTCGTGAAGTCAAGATGGAGGCGCTCCATATTCTCTGTACTCTCAATTATAAAGCGTAAGTATATACAAAATAGTATAATCATAATCCTATCGGACGTATGTGTAGATATTATAAGGTTTTTCTTGAAAACGACGCGATTGATAATATTGACCTTTTCAACAATAACCTAAATGTATTTAAAAAATAATTGGTTTCAATTAACAGCCAATAATAGTGATTAAATCTGTTTCCTTATCCATTATTTAGTTCCTCACTTCACCAGTTTATAATTTCATTTTATTTTTCATTAAATTTTTATTGCTGCAACTTGTTCATATATTTCTGTGTAAAATATTCTTTCTATTTATTGTAAATGTCTTTTCTTATATGTATACAATGTATTTAGTCTATAATCTGTGTTCACATAGTTGTTGGGTTATAACTCAGCTCATTTATAATGTTTACTTATCAATTAAATATCTTTAGTTATAATCTGTTTTGTGAACCATAAATAAAAAAAATAGTAATTAAAAATAACATGCAAACCATTCTTATCCTTGTTTCATTACAGTAAAGAACAAAATCCTCCATCGCCGCAAATGTCTGCTAATTGTGCAAAAGACGATTCGCGGTTATTTGACTCGTAAACAACACATGCCGCGTTACAAAGGGATCGCTAAGATCAAGCTTTTAGAGAAAAACCTCATACAAATGGACACTGTGACGTCACAACTGAAGAAAGAAAGAGACAGCGCTAAGAAGAATATTGAGAACTTGAGGAATAGTATTAAGAACGCCTGTCATACTATCAAGGTAGTTAGATTTGTTAAACTAGCTTTCCGCCCGCCTGGAGTTCGGTTTTATCGCGTTTCCAAGAGAACCTTTCAAAAGTCTGGCATAAAAACTATTTTATGTACTCTCTCAAGGTCAACTCTATCTCTATACCAAATTTCATTAAAATCAGTTCAGTGGTTTAGAGGTGACAGACAGACAGACAGAGTTACTTTTGCATTTATAATATTCGTAGGGATTAAACATTGATTTTAACTTATACAGGGTGGCCCAGAAAGACCGAAGTGGTGTGAATTGCTTATAACTTTTTATTTAAGAGATATTTTTTTAATTTTTTTTTTTAAATACATTAAATTTATGGGGAATATTTTTGGATTAGTTATTAAAAATGATATCCCGCAAGTGGTGGCCATATTCTGCTTCGCACAAATGTGCTCTTTCCAACACATTTTCCATGACCTTTCGCAAAACTTCCGGTGGTATGTTGTTAATTTCTTCTCGAATATTGGTTTTTAACTCCTCAATAGTCCTAGGCTTATTAACATAAACTTTTCCTTTTAAATAGCCCCAAAGAAAACAGTCTGGAGCGGTTAAATCCGGGGACCGCGGAGGCCAATTAAAATTGCTGTTACGAGAAATTATTCTTTCACCAAAGATGTCGCGTAAAAGAGTCATTGTGGCCCTCGCAGTGTGCGCTGTGGCTCCATCCTGTTGGAACCATATTTGCGGATGGTTTTCCACGTCTGGCCTTACAAAATTTTGCAACATGGCCCGATATCGATCACCATTGACGGAAATGGCGACACCTTGTTCATTTAAAAAAAAAAATGGGCCAATGATCCTTTCTGAAGAAACACCGCACCAAACGGTACACTTAACTGGGTGCAATTGTCGTTGATGAAGTACTCTCGGGTTTTCCGTAGCCCATATCCTACAGTTTTGCTTGTTAACGAACCCATTTAATTGAAAATGGGCTTCGTCACTCATTATTAAGTTATGAATAAAATTTGGATTCTCTTGTGCTTTTTGCTGGAAATAAATTGCATAGTCAAGTCGTTGCTGGTAATCTGTTGGTTTCAATTCTTGGACAAGTTGAATTTTGTATGGAAACAATCCTATGGTGTGCAAAATTCGCTGCAGCGACGTTCTTGAGAGGCCCAGTTGTGACGAACGTCTCCTGGTTGATGTTTCTGGATCCTCCCGAATACTCTCCTGTACCACTTGAATATTGTCAGCCGTGTGGACAGTTCGGTGTCTGCCGGAACCAGGAAGGTTCCTTACTGCTCCTTGTTCTCGAAAATTTGCAACCAGACGGTTTATTGTTGTCTGAGAGGGTGCAACCCGCACATTAAATTGACGACGGTATGCACGCTGAGTCAACACAATGGACCGTTGATTTGAAAAGTAAATTTCAACAATTTGGGCACGTTGTTCAATTGTGTATTGCTCCATTATAAACTATCCAAGTCTTCTTTACAAAATACTGAAAAGAAAAGAAAAAAAAATTATAATAAAAAAGTTATAAGGAATTCACACCACTCGGTCTTTCTGGGCCACCCCGTAGATACAAGATTTAACTTATTTCTTGGATATTTATTTATTTATTTGGATATTAGATTTTTTCGCGACTTCCTTTCCGTGGACTTCGAAATTGAGCTCAAAGAGAAATTTATGAAGAATGTTAAGATAATGCTAACAATATGTAAAACTTATAACGTGATTCCTCAGGAATTACAGTAATTTTTTACATATACTATGGTTCATATCTTTTTCTAATATCAAAGCAACACTACTGAGAAATTCATTTGTAATCCGTTTAATAATTTTGGTTTGATAGAAAAATAAAAATCCATACATCCCCATATGCTTTCGCATTTATAATAATATCCTGTTGGCATTTTTCAGAGCAACGAGAAAATAACCCGCAATGAAATCGACCAAATATATACGAAACTTACTAAAGACGTGGAAGCCCAAATGGCGGCCTTGCATAAGGCGATGATTGATCAGAAAAACAGGTAATGTTCCAGCTAACTCATAAGTACTATCCACTTAGGTATAATATACTATATTATTGGTGAATCGGTATAGATATAATGACTTTAAATTATATCCCCCATACGTTATATCGTATCTTCTTCTACCTGACAATTTCCCAGCTTGAGCCAGGCTCTGCCCTACATGTTGTGAATAGTTTTGACTAATTGTTTTTACGACTGGGCGCCTGCCTGACATCAACCCTCTCTTGGGATTGTATATACCATGTGTTATATCGTATGATTTATTAAACTTTAATGAGGAAAAATCCACAATTAATTGGTAAATATTTAATATATTTGATTAAAATCTTATATATTTCGTAATTCAGGGAAGAACAAGAGCGTCTTCGTAAATTGGAGGCCGAGATGAGAGCTGCCGAGGAGGCGAAGAAAAGGGAACAAGAAATATTACGACAAGAAGAGGAACACAGGCGACTGTATGACTATTAATACTACTAATATTATAATTGCGAAAGTTTGTGAGTGTGTGTATGTTTATTACTTTTTCACACTCAAACGGCTGAACCGGTTTTGATAAAATTTTGTATACAGGAAGATGACGTCCACGAATAACACATAGGCTACTTTACATCCCGGAAAATGTTCGACTTTAATTTCATTTCATTTCAACATTTCTGTCGTTTTGTAGTTGTTGGGTATCGCCCCATTTGTGGGCTTACTTTTATATATTACTAATGCCGAAATTAAAGCGGCCGAAGTCACGGGCAAATCTTACTAGATTACTATAAATAATAAAATAATATTATATTCTATATCACGTTACTTCAAACATAACATGACACTCGTGGAAAGTTATAACAAGCCACTTCGCCTTATCAATATTAAATAGTTTTATAGTAACTGGTGTACTCGTATAACGATCAGTTGTATCCTGGAACCATGAAAGGTAAATATCGTTTGTATGACAGGAAAGCGGAAATGGAGGCGAGGAGGAAGGCAGAGGAGGCTGAGAGGAGGAGGCAGGAGGAGGCAGACCGGGCCGCCGCTGACAGGCTGAGGAGGCAGATGGAGGAGGAAGACCGCGCAGACCAGGAGAATAGAGAGAGGTGAGGGGTCTTTAGATACTGGACAATAGAACATGTGGTGGGTCATCGTTGACTGGGTGAAATCTAGTGTCCGACCGAAGCTTCGGCTTCGGCCACCTTCGGCCAAAAAAACCATCTTCGGCGAAACCTTCGGCTTCGGCCCAAAACCCGGCCGGGATTGAACGAACTGTTATTTTGAATTTTCTAATATTTTCTAAACTGTGCATTTAATTGACCAACATTTAATTATTTATTAAGAAATTGGTGTTTGTTCATTTTATTTATTCTAGTTTTGGCTTAGTCGAGTAAACAAAGACTGATTGATTGGTCTGATTGTGATTTATGAATTACTTAATAAATAAATGATTCTTTTTTTTACGAATAAATCACAAACTTTTTTTATCATCTTTGAATCCACTTCCATGTGAGACTGTCAATATAAACCTTCAATATTGAAGTTTAGATATAATCTATAACATTAATTGTAGCTTGTAGACAATATTGAACAAAATTACTAAGAGCTTTTAAACCTTCGGCTTCTGCCGAAGATTGTGGCGATTGCCGATTAATCGGCTTCGGCCGAAAATAGACCTTCGGTCGGACACTACACTTTTATAATAAGTATAATAGTCATTATATTTACTGTAATACAAAAAATCTAATAAAATAAATACAAGAGTACGTCACAAATAGTCTTTTGACTATTGTATAAGATTTTATTTTGAATATCATAGAAATTGTCTTCATAGAGGATATTAGTTAAGACATTATGATTACATTTAAAGGTTGGAACAAGAGCGTCGTGATCATGAGATGGCCGTGAGGCTCGCTAACGAGACGGACGGACACGTGGAGGGGTCGCCGCCGCAACTACGAAGGTAATATATATATACTTATATGTAGAATATATATATTTATATGTATATACAACATGAAATAAACCAAGATTTTTAAGTCTCCGTCAGTCATTTGTTACTTTGTTAATATTCGTAAAACTCCGTCAATTCTCTTTGATAGACGGACAAGTATAAATCAGTCCTTACAGTATTAACAGAAAGTATAGTGATATATTATTATTATCGATGGACCATATACAAAAAATGCCCATAGGTCGTTAGTTATGTACGTAATATATTATAATTATTTTAAATAAATATATTATGATGCAATTTTCATATGATGCATAAAGTTATACTGAAGTACACTCAATACTTGTTAATGATAAAGATAAGTACCAATAAACAGTCTTCTATAGTGATTAATATACATATATTATATATAATAATATATACATAATTAAATTGTCGTCAATATAATGTGATATGCTGACGTTATCTATACTGAATGTAAGCGCGTATCTTCTGTACAAAGCTTGTAAACACTACGGTAATATTGTCTGCACAGTTTCCCAACACTGGACTCGATGAACGGAGAGAATAAGTTGAACAGGTACCAGAGACTATAGAGTTTGTCTATCGCCACGCCTTCCATCCTCTTTCAATATATTGTCTATGATATTATTATAAAAAAATAAAATCTACCTACATTCTTCTTACTATTCAAAGTTAGAAGCTAACTAAATTTGACAATGATATTTAGATTACATTATTGAATTTTCAGTTACTTGTTTTGCAAAATTTATATATAATATTGAGTATTAAATATAAATTTATTACTTTATATCTATAATATTGAAAGAGGACTTCTTAACCACACTAACTTCTAACTTCGGCTGTAGCTTTTATTTCTAATGCACGTTTTTTTTGTCGATAACGCTATTAAAATGTAATATTATGTTAATACAGTACCTCGTAGTGTTATTAATTTAATATTTCGTTTAGGCTGTAGTAATGTTATAATAGATTAATGTAGAATTGTTATTAACTAAGCATGTGTATTTTCTATTAAGTAGAATTTGTCTTTGTTATATTTATAATATAGCATTTTGAAGGTAAGCTGTGTGTACTCTGAACGTTATTACAGTGTCATAAGGTTCAAATTGGATATTTGTGTAGGTCGGAACGTGTTCGCATGCAACAAGCTCTTCAAGAAAAGCAGAAATACGATCTCTCCAAGTGGAAATATTCCGAGCTCAGAGACACTATCAACACCTCGTGTGACATTGAACTGCTGGAGGTTTGAATATCTTTATATACAGTGTAAACTCTATATAACGGCACTGAAGGGACCGTGTATTTTAGTGCGTTATAGAGAGTTGCCGTTAAATAGAAAGAAGAAAAATCAGAATTAGAAAAAGACAAAGTTTATTTTAGACTAGTGTTAGTACTTATGTACATAAAAAAGAATGTTATAGTTTGAGATTTTGTGAGCAACTTTTTATGTTAACGTATAGGTAATACAAGACTCCTACTTATGGTCAAAAACCGTCGATACGTTTAAGCAATTTGTAATTGTAAAAAAAAGAATGAATTTCTTAGAAAGTTCGGTATGCATGATAGGGACAGTCAAGTTTATTGCGGGCTAGGATAACAAAGCGACAAAGGAACGTACACAGCTGCACAGTTTTTACTAATTTTAGCACCTTAAAAGGTACTTTTTATGACTTAATTGTTGTCGTTATTGAGAGTGGGTGTGACGCTATGTAGAGTGTATTATTGTATGGTAGACTAGCTAAACTAACCAAAGTCAAATGATTTCGACGCTTTATAGAGTTTGTCGTTAAATCGAGTGTCGTTATATAGAGTTTACACTGTATATAAAAATTTTGTGTCACGTGTTTGTCCGCGATTGACTCCGAAACTACTAAACCGATTTTAAATTTGATTTGCATTTCGTGTGCATTTTGATCCAACTTGAAAGATAGGATAGCTTATATCTCAATTTATAGTCACAATATTATTTTATTGCAAATTATTTGTCTATTAAAGAAAATTATTTGTCTTTATTACAATTATCTGTTGACTTGAGTTAAGTATTCAATAGATTGCGCTAAGTTGAAAATACAAACGTCATATATGAGCGACTATTTAATACATAATAGCATAACCACTACGTGTTTCTGAGCCTAAGGTATAACCTAACTTTATTTATTAAAAAAACATAACAGATATTTCTTGATTATAGGGCGATACGAAGTTTGCCGGGTCTTCTAGTATTATATATAAATACTGTATAGAAATATAAATAAATAAATACCAATAAGCGGACACGTGTGTAACTAACATGACTATTTCTTTGTTACTTTTACATTAATTTAAAATCGTATTTTTTTGTGATTGTAGAAAGGCTGAACTTAATATGATATAGTTGACGTTTTACATAAGAACGAAAGAAAAAATTAAAAGACATACTTAAAGGCACAAAAAAGTAAGAAAAAAATATATAAACGAAATATGAACTTTTCTAAACGTTATCGTATTCTAATCTAAGCCCTATCTTAGGTCTACAATATTTTTATATCACTTAAAAAACCTAAAATTACTTATTAGAAAATAATAATAATATTAATAACAAAGGCATGTCGTCATGAGTTCCATCGCCGCCTGAAGGTGTATCACGCTTGGAAGGCAAAGAACGCTCGCAAGTCGACCTTGGACCAGGAACGAGCGCCGCAATCCATCATGGACGCTGGTGAGTAGACACTTCTTCTTCCTGGCAATTTCCCAGATATAGCCAGGGTCTGCCTTACATGTTGTGAATAGTTTTGGCTAATTGTCTTTTACGACCGGCCGCCTGCCTGACATCAACCCTCATTGGGAATGCATTAATCAGTGATGTCTAAATATTCTTAGAAAGTACATATGACCCGGAAAAATCACATTGGTACTTGCCTGGGCCAGGATCGAACCCGCGCCCTCTAACCATTAGGCCACTACTGACTGTATATATGTATATAGTACAGACACTAACAGGAGTTATATCAATACTACCTATGATGGAATTACTTGAAAAGTATGGCAGGTTGTAAGAACGACAACTATAAGCTCAAAAGCTGATTAGAATGGATAGTCTAATTATTAATCATATAAAGACATACTTAGACGCCGAAGCGCAAAAAATGTAATATCCCATTCAATACCAGTCTGGTTTAGTTGGTGAATCTCCAATAGGTAATAAAGTTATATAATTATTTTCTCACCCCAGCCAAGGCTCCCCGAGTGACCACCGGCGCCATATTGGGTGCGCGTCATCGTTACTTCCGTATCCCGTTCGCTCGTCCCGGCAGCGATGAAGCTCGTGGTTGGTGGTACGCTCACTTCGACGGGCAGTATGTAGCTCGTCAGATGGAACTACACCCGGACAAGACGCCCGTACTACTACAAGCTGGGTTGGATGACATGCAGATGTGTGAACTGAGCTTAGACGAGACTGGACTCACGAGGAAACGAGGAGCTGAGATATTGGAGCACGAGTTTGAAAGGGAGTGGGCTAAGAACCGTGGACCTCCGTACAAACCAGCTCATTAAATGTAAGTATATACTTGATGGAATCTGTTAGAACTCAATGTCTGTTATGTTGGCATCACTGAATGAAGTGTTCGCGGTTACGTGGATTTAAATCTAATGTTAATTTATGAATAGTTCTGTAAACTTAACGTATTACATATAACTATAAACAACCATTCTACCCATAAATTTATCTGTCTGACTTCTATAACTTAATAAAGAGTAAAGTTGGCTGTTATAAATATATTATTATACTACTAGATACATTTAGTATTTAAAAACAGTTTTGGTTCATCATTAAAAGGCATAGACAAATATGTGAAGGAATTATATTTTATATTTTTTTAATTTTATATAAACATAAAACATTTAAAAGGAGCTTATAGACATAATATAATATTTTTCTAAACAAAAATTCCTTTTTTACTTTTCAGACGCAGTTTACAAGCACGAACCTACTACAAAGAATTGTGTTTTGATATAATAATATAGTAGAATTAAGGTTATATGAAATTCAGTGCTTTTAAATGTGCCTTCACAGGTTTTGTAGTTGTATAATATAGTGCAATATGTATTCAAGGGATATTCCACCGTAGATATATTTGTGATTGAAGAACACAATTTAGTATTAATTACACGTAGTTATGGCAAGGAAAGTGCAGTTGAAACTAATATATACGCTTCATTTAAGAGAATTTTTAAATATATTTGTGATAAAGACATTCCGGTTTATACATATTGTCGTATTTGACATACATTGAATATTGCCATATCAAAAAATATGTCGGACCACTTTCCATGCCTATATGAATTTATATTTATAAAAATGAAATAAATATTTGGAATATACATACTTAAACAGACATTTAAAAATATTAATATTTTTACATAACTACTTATTCATTATATACCTTAGTATAATTAGCAAAAAATGTTAACTGTGATTAGTTTTGGAATGTAATGATGAAATTTGTTATTACGAAGATTATTTATTTTGGCATTCCATGTGTTACGGAGAGACTGGTTGATGGCAGTTCTTGTATTTAGAATTCAGTATTCACTTGAAGTTTATTCCGAACAGTATTTGAACATTCCTATATAATAATTTTTATTAAATATATTTAGTGTTAATAAGCGAACATTGTTTTAAAGTACAATTTATTGAGTACAGAGTAATCACGAGTGCCTTTATCATGCCTTAGTACATGACTTTGTGTTATGCTTTACCAAATAAATATAAGATGTATAAAAGTTCGTTTTTTATTTGTCCTTAAACAAAAATGACCAGTTTAAACGTCTAAAGTTATTATATTTACTTTTTCTTATCTTTTCTCCTATGTCTTGAGGAAAGAGAATGTACAACAGATAAGGTACCCCTGTAAAAAGTTCTACTCGTAATAGAAAATATGAAACTAAAAACAGTAAATACAAATTAAAACGATTTCTCCAAAAACACCAAGCTTACTTTAAATAGTTATCTTTCTATTTCTTCATTTTTAATCAGAAAAATAACACATTAATTTCAAATTTGAAAAAGCACATATCGGGTGTTAAAGAGAAAATAAAACATGTATAATCTAAAAATACTGAGATTTCTAGCTCTTCAGATTATTGAAGAAAATTCACAAATCTTCTTACACTTATAATAAAATACAATAAAAAAAAGATATTAAATACCACCGGTATGGTCTACTCTTGATAATGTAAGATCGTTTTATCAGGTAACATAAAACAATTAAAAACTGACTGTTAGCACCAGTAAATGCCAATGTGCAAAATGACAATATTTCTGTAGACGCGTTTTAAGTTTGATTCCAATATATCTTGAACATGCGACAAAACTCATGATTTTGAAACTTAGCGTAGCAACCATAGATCACTATATTATTATAGAAATAGATGCGCAATTGTGAGTTTCAGTTTCGAAAACTACTATGTACCGTGCACGCTAGATGTCGCTGCATTTACTAGCGAGGACGTGCTACCAACTAGATGGCACTTAATGTTATTCGAATTTAATAGGAAAAATGCAAACTTCAATTTTATTATCAACTTTAATCTTTGGTTGATTAAAGTAAATATGTAATAAAATAAGAATAAATAATGTGCACAGGTTCAAAAATCCAATTTCTGATGTATTTGCCTCCGTTTACATTATTTACTTAGCACACTTAAAAAAATAAATACAATAAATTTTTTTATACCATTTTTATTTACTTCAAATCTCATTGAGTTTAATACAAGTAATGTTTCATCCCACAGTTTGAAATGTGGAGAATTCGTTTCCAAAACAATCCTATATAATTTAGCATCTTCCTGATAACTATGACCATTGAACAAGTCAAACAGTTTATCTACAAGAAGCAGCAGGTCAGCTGTGGCGACACACTCTTTTGGCAAAATATTACGATCTGGAAATAAAAAATATATTAAATTTATTTTTAGACATAGGTATTTATCTACTTATCATTAGATAGATAGATAGATAAACTTCTTTCTAAATTTCTAAATCTGTGGTTTAAATTTATAAGGTTTGATATTTAAAATGCTTTATACTGTTTTATAATTTAAGAGTAAATATAGCATTCATAGTTAATTTTAAGCTTAGTTATATGCCCATAACTTACCTTTAGGAAATAATTGAGAAGAATTAGGAGAACTCTTTTGTGCCTGAACTTGATTCATATTTAAATCAAAGTTGTGACTACAAGATGCGTCATTGTCTTCTTTTTTCAACAGAATGTGATGAGTGTACAGTCTCAAATGTTGAAGCTGCTAAATAAAATATATTTTTTAATAATAATAAATATATTAAAAGAAAAGTTAAATGAAAATTTGAATTTTGAAGAAAAGTTGAATGATAACATATTGTCTTGATTGTATCTTTCTTTTAGAGTTTCTGATTGAATGTAAATAGACTTGTAATTTTTACTGAATTAAACACTGCCATTCTTATATTATATAAAAACTATAAACAACTTTTTTTGGTTTGTAGTTTTCCAGTGAAATTATAATCTCTGCATATTTAGAACACTTTGTTTTTGTTTTACATATGTAAAGAAGTGACACAAGTAATTATTTTGCGATACTGTTTGTAGGCACTTTTCTTTATTTAGATAAAAAAGGTAATAAATACCGCACATTATAAATCTATCAAACCACATGTAAGTATATAAAAATGTTAAGATAACTTGTATACCTATTTCCTTATATTCAATTCAATCTAATTATTTTGTTTTTAATTTTTAATTATGAGCAACAATTTCAAAAGTAAAATAATAATAATGTAAAATATTATCTATAGTTATAAAATATAATGGATTATTTATGTTTTTTTTCTATTAGTAGTATGTATTGTGTGCCTATAACTACTTGGGAAGTTGCTTACTTTAGATACTTACTTAAGTATAGGGTTGGTACAGCATTTTGAGTGAGTCGTTTACTTGAAGAACGGTAAAACTGTTCAAAATGACGATCACATATTCTTATATTACTTATTATAAATGTAAGAATCTTCCTTTTGTTTCATGTCTTCATTTTAAATATATTTCCATTGAATGAATTTCTCGTTTAGGAAATTGATGAAAAGGACCTGAAATATTTTTATTAGAAGTCAATAAACTGTTACGGTTGAAATTGATGTAACAAGAGTAGTAATTGATTGTAGTATATATATATATATATATATATATATATATATATATATATATATATATATATATATATATATATGACAAATAATATTTTTTTAGATTTTACTAAATAAGTATCGTACCTTTAGTCGCACACCGAAAATAACACTTAATAGCCGATTTTCGTGACATTTTTTCAACTTATCGATAATCCAAATTCCTGGTTTGCAATCAAAGTCCAAATGAGAAGAGCCGGGGTCGATCATCAAAAACGTTAAAATAGGAATCAATGATATATTAAGCCGGGTCAAATGTTTGAAAAAGAACGTACAGCACAAGAACAACAGTAAACAACTAAAATAATTTAAAATTTGTCCTAATGTCAAAGCAATTTGAGAGCTACTTACGTCATCTATGAAGTTATAGAGGAAAATAGTGTCAAAGTTGTTGTACCTTGTTCGTTAGATGACAGCACTTTCTTACACGTTAATTATATGCCATACATTTACGTCATTTAAGGTTGATAAACTTTTTTGTAAACCTACTAGTTTTAAAATATGTTCATGTTTAAAAGTGGTACTTACACTGCTTTACTGCAATAAAAACTAAGTCTTTCCACCAACAAATACACATGTTTTTTAAATGGATGTTATAGAATACAGTATTATGACGGTTTTAAAGCAAAAAAATGAAAATTCTTAAATTGCTACCTGTTCCTTATACGTAGCACCCATCTATATATATAAACCCATTAGAGCATTATAACTTCTATATGTTAAAATAATAACACTTCTTTAATATTAATATTTTCGCTGGTATTCACTTAAAGGAAACTAAGGTTTTTGAATTTTACTGCGGCTCTTTTAATAATTTTAAAACTTCATAATATCGACGTTTTATTCCATTGCAGAAACTGTAATGTTGGAGCAATGTAATTTTTAAATAATGAAAAATGCGAACTAATATCCGAAAATATTATTTACCTTAAAGGTTTTTTATCTGTGTTGTATAAGGATTCTATTATCTTCTTTATTATGACATACGCCGTCAAACAATGTTCAAAGTATTCTTTTCAGTACTTACATCTAAACATCTCGAATATTTTCAAAGTTTAAACATTAATTACGTACCGTTTAAAAAAGAATATTGTAAAGAGTTTTTCCTACATCTCATATAATAAGCATGTAAATTATTAACGTTAGAAGTTTAGAATGGAAAGGATTTTTGTATTGTTTTGTTTATTATATATCAGCGAAGTATTCACATTACCTTACGACGGTGAGCTTATCATCTAAATTAATTGCTTTATTTGATGTAACACTTCATTTAAATATATCTATTTTCATTAATCGTCAATCGGTTCAATAATGTTTCTTTATTATTCATAGTTCACTGGCTAAGTGGTTCTGCAACTATAGATCGTGATATACAACCCTTAAAGCAAAATGTAGATGTATATTGTTATACTGGTTCAACGAAAAATTTAATAGCATTATGGCAAACAGCAAAGGTACTTAACAATGATCATTAACATACTTTATTACAAAATATCCTATAAATAAATGTAACAATATTTTCCAGTTCCATATAAAGATAAAGGATGACGAGTTCAGCCAATATATTGGTGATAATCCCGAGCAAGTGTACAATGACTATAAAGAGGATAGCTATGGCTGGGCGGTCGTGAATCCCTTCCTAAAAAAATCCTACCGAACTGTATCACTTGACATTTTCACACCGACTTGTATGGCGATTAATACTAAACAGAAGCATAGCATTGAATTGCAGATACAAAGTAAATAATATACTCGTTTAATAGTTAAAATAAATACATTGTCGTAAATTTAATGAGTTATTTTTATTTCCAGGAATAGATTTATTTAGGGTTCTAATGATGTTAATTGGTATCAGTGCTATATTTGCATCCCGATCACTAAGTGGTAACCCTGTTTTCTTTTACCTATGTGGTATTATTGTGGGTGTGTCAGCCTCGTTTATGCTTCTTGTGTATTATGTCAGCAAGCTACTGCCAAAAGTAAGTGACTTTTAGGTAATCATTGGTTTATTAGATCTCCTCATACAAATGTATATAATATAAATATTAATATTTCCAGAAAACCTTAACATATGGTATATTAATAGGAGGTTGGACTGTCGGTGTATACATATTCCAGCAGATGTGGGAAAATATACGCAGTATTGTAACAACATATCAAGCATATTTATTTTGGTACACTCTACTCGTTGGATTCATTAGTTTTGTGGTCTGCTATAGGATTGGCCCACCAAAAAATCAGAGAAGCAAAAATCTTGTCATGTGGACATTACAAGTAAGTATACATTCATAATTATACTACAATTCTGCTCCTACTGATAATATAATTCTGCTTGATTTTTTGCTTTGATTTTTGGTAATCTATTACTCGACTCTTAGTTTTCAAATTACATTCAGAATAGTTTATTATATTTGTTATATACATTTAGCCTATTTATATTTTAATTAAACAAATATTAAATGGTCTGAATATTTTGATGTTTAAAATAAATAATTGAGTCAATGAGGTTGTATATACAAATATACTAGAGTATATCTTTGATGACAAATTTCTTTTAAGATATTTAAATTTTTTTTTTCTCAAATTGCAAATATTCTTAATTTATTAATATTAAATTATAAGATAATTAGCATACCTAAAAGGTCATCACTATCCCAGGATAGAAATAAGATAACATCCTAGACCATGCTTTGTAGATATATATACTATAGCTAAACTGGTTTCTACTTGTAAGCTGAGCCACAACACTAGATTTTAAAAAGATATTTACTGTATCCCACATTTACTGTAGTTCCTTAAAATGGAATATATTTATCATATTCCATTGTTTTAAACAGTCTACTTAGTAATCTTAAAATTTCGAACAGGTCTGCACATTTTTTTTTGTTTTCCTGCCAGTGTTCCATTTTTAAATAGTTTCTTTTATAATTTCTAACCTGCCAGGGCTTGGGTGCATTCACTATATTCTTCAGCAGCCAGTACCAAGAGGCGTCTGCAGCGGTGGCCGTGGCCACACTTTTAGTGAAGTACTTCCCACAGTCGCTGATCATAGCTGTACAGGGTTACTGGTATACACGTCATGATAATTTTCTTTCATAATATTAAATTAACTTCCCATATTAATGGCCAATATTTATTTATATATTTTTTTATTCGACTTATTTTGTGCTTCCGCCGCTACATGCTGCACTCCATAAAATACGCGGGAAAAATTTTATGTGAAACTTGTCTGAGATTATATATTGCATTCTGCATAACGAGATTATATAATATGTATTATAGATTTTGAAATTAAATTTTGATAAAATTATCATTTATATTAAGTCAACATTTTATAAACAGAATTTTAAGCTTTAATATTATTGTAATTTGATATTAACAAAATGACAGGCGTCGTAAGTTCCCGCCTAAACCGAAGCTGCTCACAAGTGAAGAGTATTACGAAGAGGGGGCTCGTGAAACTAAGAAGGCACTGGATAACCTTAGAAAATACTGCTCCAGCCCGGATTGTGCTCAGTGGAACATAATGCTAAAGTTACACGACGCCAAAAGGTAATAGATGATTAAAATCCACCTAGAACTCAAACCATCCAAAATCCGGCATATCGTTCGATTTGTAGTACCAATATATTTTCAAATTAATGAAAGTAGTATTTTTCGAATATACTACGCGGTTTATTTTTATGAAAAAAACTAAATACTCCCGGCGTTTCGGCTACTTTTCAGCAACTTAATTTCCTTTTATCACAAAAATAAACCGCGTACGGCGTAGTATATCCGAAAAATATTAGTTTCATTTAAATGAATGAAACTCGCGAAAATCTTAGATCACATTATATTTTCAATAAAATATTCATCGAACTATATGTTAGTTCGTGATTCCTAGATTGATATGAGCAGTTTCAAATAAAAATATATACATTTTTTATTCGTATTATAAATTGCAGATTCGCAAGTTTCGTAGAAGGCAATTCACATTTGAGTGACGACGAGGTGTTAGATTATGAATCGTATGCATTCTCAATGGAACGTTCAAAATCTATCTCAAATTCCACCAGAGATATGGAAATATCCGATGACGATTCCACGGAATACGACGAAGATGATTGAAGGAAGAGAAAAAAATTGCCAAATAATGTTTCAATTCGGGGAGAATTAATGGATACGGCAATAAATTGTCGATATAAAGCACTCCAAGTTAATGAAGTGCTTACTATGGATAGAATGTTATTTTGTGTGAATTATGTATTTTAATTTAACCAATCTCAGAAGTGATTGAGGTGAAGTCTCATTGTCCTATAAGTTTCATTCTCAATTCAACTCTTTATAATTCATTCTATGTATTATACTTTTCTTTTATATGTCTTCTATTTGCTGTGTTATTTTTATGTCTTCAGTATCATCAAATAAAATTACTAACAAGAATCTATTGGGTTGTAAGAATGGTTCCAAATAAATAAATTGTAAGAAAACAATTGTATGTTAGTAATAATTTATTTTATATAATTCATTATGTTAGCACCATATGAGTTTGCTTATGAAGACAATTAATTTGTATGATTTTTTTGTGTTACTTATATTTAAGTCTAAGTTTTTCAAATAAATTTGTTTCAATAACATATATTGTATTTATTAAAATCTTCTATGGCACATATTCTATATATTTAAGGCACTTATTTAATAAAAAGCATAAATTAATTTATAAGTTATATGAGTAATAATATTAGAAACATTTGAATGTTAATGTCATATTGTAGTACAACAGTTTTCTTGTTATTCTATTTCCTAACATTAGTAAAAGCATTTTCTTTGTCAGCTTAATTCAGGATCGAGCTCTGCTTGCTTTCTTGCTTTTATCCAGAGTTTGTGGTGGGGGTGGTGGTTTTGCAGACATGTGTCTGCTGTAGAGACTAAAATATATGTAAATATATTAAAAAATCATCATTTTTATATTACACTAGCTTTTGCCGCGGCTTCGTCCGCGTGGAATAGTTACTTCCGACAGATTTTTGGTTCTTCCCACATACATAGTTCCCGTTGTTGCGGGGTTTTCGGAATGGTCGAGTTCCCGTAGAATTTTCAGGATGAAACCTATGTTTTTTTTATTAATAATGAAGTACTCTTAACCAATAACATATTTATTTGTTTATATGAACAAAGATTAATATTATTATTTTGATACAACTTAAACAAATTATTTCGACAAAATTAGGTACCATAAAAACGGTTTTGTGAGTTAATCTTAAAAGATAGACATATACTGTCGCGGACTGTTTTTTAGATCATTAAAAGAGCTATTATTCTTTACTACATATTTTTTGTGTATCTTGAACCGTTTTCACGGCGCCCGCAACGGAAGGCTTCAAAGATGAAATAATTTCTCCCGTTTCTTACACATTTACCACTATATCTTTGCTCCTATTGGTCGTAGCGTGATGTTATATAACCCACAGCCTTCCTCAATAACTGATCTATCCAACACAAAAAGAATTATTCAATTCGAACCAGTAGTTTCGGAGATTAGCGCTTTCAAACAAACAAACAAACTCTTCAGCTTTATAATATTAGTATAGATGGATAGATAAAATAGTTAAAATCACATACACTTTGTATGTTTCAGACTTTAAGTAGTCCAAGACGTGTGATGGCCCCAGTTTGAGTTGATCTTCGATGGGTGGAACCCAGAAGTTTCCTTCTAGACGTAATACTGATTTATTGCTGGCTAAGTCCAAAGATCCTGAAATGATAAATTATAATATATTCTTTTTTCTGTCTCAAAACCAATATATCACTAAGATCTACAGTATTTTAAAAGAGTTTTAAGGATATAAACTTGGAATTTACCTATTTCAGGCGGCAATACAACAAGTCGATTACCCTGTAGATGTAATTCTCTTAAGCGGGCTAACTGACCAAGTTCTTTTGGTACTTCAATAAGATCATTTTCTCTCATAGACAGCTGAAAAAAAGCAAATTGAAGTTAAAATAGAAAATTAAGATACAAAACGGCCTTATTTCAGATGAGAAAGAGATCTGTGACTATTTCAACAAGTTTTTTTAAAAGAGATTGGTTCGAATTTAGCAAATCTAATACCCAGCAAATATTACCACAGCTTAACAATAAATATTAGGTAACTCTTGCAACTGGAAGTCCTAAACACACACTTTTTCAAATAAACCAAACGACTACAAATGAAGATGGCAAAATTATTGATAAATTAAATACAAAATTATTTCTGGTCTGGATGGTGTAGGCCCTAAATCTCTCAAATGTATAAAAAATATAGTTTTAGATGAACTTACTGTCAGTATAAATAAATGTTTAAAACGGAGTGTTTCCTAATAGTCTGAAAATCGCCAAAGTAACTCATATCCTATCCTAAATCAGGATGTAAATTAGATGTAGGTAATTACCGTCCAATTTCTGTTCTTCCGGTTGTATCAAAAATTTTCGAAAGAATTCTCCGTACTGGTTTAGAAAAATATTTAGATTGCAAAATTTTATATACGAAAAACAATATGGGTTTCGGTCTAAATGTAATACACTTTCAGCTGCTATAGATCTGGTTACAAAACTAAAATTAAGTATTGACAATAAGCAATATTGATTGGGTATATTCATTGATTTAAAAAAGGCGTTTGACACTGTTTTCCATGATTTTTTACTGAAAAAACAACAGCTTATGATATTTTTAAGACTTACTCATCAAATCGATATCAGATTGTTAAAATAGGGCAAACACAAAGCCAACAGCATGCAGTGTCCTTTGATATTCCTCAAGGGTCCATCCTCTGACCTTTGTTGTTCATAATTTACATAAATAGTATTAATAAAATTGTATTAAAATTGGATATTACTTTGTACGCTGATAATACGAGCCTTTTCTACTATGGCAAAACAAATGAAAGTGTTTTACATGATGCACAAAATGACTTAAATCTGTGGTTCCAGAGTAATCTTTTGACAATTAACATAGAAAAAACTAATTACATTATTTTTGCCGCTAAAAATAAAAAAGTATCGCAATCATTATTATCATTAGTGATAAATAATCAACAAATTAATAGAGTATATAAAGAAAAATATTTGGGATTAATAGAAACCCCACATAAATAAAATAAAAGGTAAACTTATTTCTCTGATGGGTTTTTTGCGAGGCATTGTGCGTTGCTCACCACGACAAGTGCTTTTTATTATTTACATTTCTCTTTTCAAACCTCACATAGACTATTTAATACAAATATGGGGAACAGCTACCAAATTTAGAAAGTCTACAAATAACTAAGAATAAATTAATAAAACTATTATTTCATTATAAGTATTTAACACCTACGCAAAAAATCTATAAGGAAACCCAAATCATGAGCATCCACCAATCATATATATATTTTAATTGCATACTAATACGAAAAATATTAAATAACGAAATACACACTCAAATAAAATTTACTAAAAAACACTAAGAGCAAAAAATGATATTTAGATCAGCAAATGACTTGACATGATGACAGCTTATTTAAGCCGCGTACTAAATATGGTAAAATGTGCATTATGTATGTGGGTGCTAAATTGTATAACTCTTTACACAAAAATGATGGCTAATTTCAAAAAATTACTTAAATCCTACATTACTAGTAATCATAACATTCACATAGTAATAAATAAAAATATATGTCTTAAATTACATATATTTAGGAACATTAAACTAATACAGATATTTACAGAACCTATGTTAAATAAATTACTGTATCATACATTATACAGTAATTTAATTATAATACATTGCATATCAAATATTTTTTTACATTATATCAAACTTCTAAACTTCGGTATGTTAATACTTCCAGTTGCAACAGTTCTTTGTGTCTATGCATCAAGTATACCATACAAATTGTCGAACTACCCAACAATATTTTTATAATGGCATTATTGTTCTAAGTGAATGTAAATTCTTTTGAATAAATAAAGTTCTTAAACCCGAAATAGAAAATTACAGCTATATTTGAAAATAATGAAAAATACATACAATCTGTAAATTCTTCAGGTTTCCGATATCTGGTGGTAAATATTCAAAATCATTGTCGCCCAAGTACAAAGCTCTTAGACTTTCTGAAACAGTAAACCATTATTTTTAATATACATTCTACATATGCACTAAGTAAAATTAGTAATTATTATCTAACACATAAGTACATACACATTCATAAATAAATAGTTTACAAAAGGAAAAGTTTGTAATAAATTAATCTCTGCACATAAAGAATGAAATGAATTATTTTTAGAAAGAAAAAAAATCATTATTTATAATTACTATTACTCGCTCATTTCGCCTTTGAGGCAAATAAGTTTATTACAATATTTTTAAGTGTTCCATGTTAAAAATAAAGTGTTTTGTGTACCCATCATGAAAAAGTTTCCCGGTAAAGCAGTTTCCTTTAAGTTGTTGTATGTTAAATCCAATATTTCCAACACAGGAAAGGCGCCAAACCCTCTCGGCAAGTTGTACAACCTATTGAGTGATACATTGAGTATCCTTAGCTTTGGCAGTGATGATAGACTAACTGGTAATTCTTCAATATGATTGTTAGCCAGATTCAGAATCTCCAAGTTCATCAAATTCGCAAGCCCAGCCGGCACCACTTGTATTTTGTTATGACTCAAAGTCAATCGAGTGATGTTTTCAAGACTAACTGAAAAGGAAAAATATTTTCAGTGATGATATCATTCGTTAAAAATATTTAACTGGAACAAAATCCGATTATTTAATTTTCATGTTACAATGAAACTATTACAGAGTAGGTTATATAGTAAATAAGATAATACTGAGAGTTTAGTATGTATTTATCAAAATATCAACAAATAAAAACACAGGTGCAAAACTTGTACAACAGTTGTTCTAACTATATAAGGCAAAACAAGTTACATAGATACTTACATAGTCCAGGAATTTCATCTAGGCTCGAAATCCCTTTATCTACTAAGTCTATTTCAGGATTATTTATTTCTTTAGCTTCTTCTATAACTTTTTTAGCTTTCGACATTTTGGCAGTGTTTGGAATACAAGAAACAGGCGGAGGATGACTCATTGCAGCAATTCAGAAAAATTAGGAATATGATTGAAATTTTACCCAATCGAAAGCGATTTGAAAATATATTGTAGTTCATGATTGGTTAAAATACGAGCAAAAAGAAACAATACAGATTAAAAATATTACTCATGAAACGACAGAGTATTAAACAAAGTATGAAATAATGTTCAGAAGCATTTATTTGATTTTTAAAATTCAATCTTATAAACCTTTAACGGACTTTATATCTATGTAGCTCATATTATCATAATTAAATAAAAAAAATATAGACAAAAGTAAAAAGAAAATCCTTTATTCATCATACTTTTAGTCGATATTACAAAATTATTAGCCTTCCAATTATATTTATAAGTTTAAAGTTCCAAATGCTAAGAATTCCATTTTTCTTCGACTGTTTATTATATTAAACTGGCAAAAATGTAGTTCCTACTGCTATAAAATATTTTTTTTATTACTCTCTACAGTAAGTAAAAAATCTTTTTCAACATAGCTATTCAAAGTTTATTCATATCAGTCGAAAGTCTAAAGTCCTCTTTACCTTTTTTATCATTATTTAATATTAATTTCTCATCTGTCGTATAACAAAGAAAGACTCCATTCATTAAATAAGGAAACTGACATTCCTTTAAAAAGCCTATAATACCGAAGAGTAGTACTGCTTAGTGCTTCGTAGTTGAAGTATATGCTATACTAGTCAGTAGTCGATATAAAAACCGATGTTAAGTTAGTACACTATTTGACTGTAACTAAGGATATTTATGTGTTATCACTTATCAGTACACGAATTGTTGATCACCGAAAGTCGCTTCATTAGTGTCGGGAATTAGCGGACTATTGTTTATTATTTTTAAATTCTTCTGCATAATAAGTAAGAATAAATTAGTTTTTTTTAATGAAACTATTGTTATCTTTGGATAATTACGATAACTAATGTTGTGTAAGTGATTGTATAAGATAAATTAAAACATATATACATTTTTGATAAAGTAGCAGTATTTAAAAGATAATTAGAGGTGGCGGAAGACAGGAATTAAGAGGTATTTATCACATTTTTTTATTCAATTAATTTATTACTAGTAATGAGATTATAAAATTAGGGTTTGTATAGAAAGTCGCATAATTATTAATAAGTCTTATTAATCTATTCATTTTATTATTTTTGAATGTCATCAAATCAAAAATCCAGATCATTAATAATTATATACAATTTTTTATAGCTTTTTGTAATTCGTGGGAATTAGTTAAAAAGATCATAATATGTGCTATGAATGTATACTTAATAAAACCTGTTGTTACGGAAAAGTTTTTGTAAAGAGATAATTATTTATAAATATTACAGCAAAAATATGTTGCTTCCCATTAAGTAGTGCATATATGGTTGTGATATTAAATTTCCTTTAGTATTCGTATTTCGAATATATTCAGCTTGATCCTTACTTCATTAATTTTTCCTTTTTGATATTTGTTAATATTTTGAGCAATTAATATGGCCAAGGTCCAATGACTTTCCATATTTGCAAATGATTAAGTTGCTTATACATATTAAGCATTACAATGTTCTATACTTAATAACAATACTTCTAGCCATGAGTGAGAGACCACAACCATTGAAGGCTATCAACCGTTTCTTTGAGGGCAAGGAACCATGGCAGATAGTTACCATGACTGCATCATCAGTACTTGCTATAGTGTGGGCTCATAGTCTATATAATGCTAAAGACCGTAAGTTAACACCAATATATATGAAAATATATTTCAAGCATGAAAATATCAATTGTAATGATATAAAATCTATTTTTATTACTAATTCTGTTGCATATATCATCAGTAACATATAACTTTATAAGTTTTTCTTAGTTAAGTATCTCTCTGTTTAATTTCTACTATTCTATTGGTAGTTTACATAAATGTTATTGTACATTTCAGTTTTACACAACAATTTACTCTGTATCTTTCAAATTGATGCCTCTTCTTAATAGTTACTAATTTCCATCATCAACTGTTTAAATTACTGTTAATTTACAGTGGTTCAAGTAATTTTTTGTTATGAAACTTATTTTTAAACAATAGCCTTGACTCAGTACAATAATAAGCAATTGTTTGCTACGTATGTAACTATATATCTTAATTACAAAGATATATATGTGTATTTTTTATTGTGATAGCTGTAACTGTGAGATTAAGGAGGGAGTTCTTCAGATGGCTCCGATGTGTTCCAATTGTGAGAAGGAAGATAGAAGAAAAGATGACAGAAATTAGAAGCGGCTTTAAGAAGGATGTTAATAAACGACTCGCTGGCATGACCATATATAAAGACCTGCCGCAGGTCGGTTTCACAGCTGAACAAGTTGCTGAAGAAGTGAAATTGCATCTTAGTTTAGGTAAACAGCAATTATTCTTCCTTGACCAAATTTGTATTTTCATTATTGTTTCTTAATTTAAATATCATTATCAGTCTTTAAAGTATGACACATAATTTTAATGTTGGTTAATTATTTAAAATTATATGTGCATAAAATTATTTATAATTAAGCAACATTTAATAATTATGCAGGTTTTTTATTTAAAAATGAGTAAGATAATTTGCATTTTTAAAATTTGCATAAATACAATTTAATAATAATTTTAAGATTACTGGTTTTTGAAAATAGATTTAATCTTCCTCTCATAAAGAAGGAAAATTTATAAAGGGAATGCAGCTTCTATATATAATGAAATTCCTCATATATTTAATAATTTATTATATTATTGTTTAGGATCTTATGACTGGAAGGGAGGTAGTGTCTCCGGGGCTGTCTATCATTTGGAGGAAGATATATGTAAAGTAGCATGTGAAGCGTATTCATCTACAGCATACACAAATCCCTTACACGCTGATGTGTTCCCTGGAATCAACAAGATGGAGGCTGAGATTGTCAGGATGACGATCAATCTGTTTCATGGGGATGAAAATTGTTGTGGAACGGTGAGTATTATCATATATTAATGACTAGCTTCTGCCTGTGACTCCGTTTGCGTGGACATCAGAGTTGTTATTTATTTGAGAGTTGTTAGTTTGTTATGGTTTCATCCGGGTAGTTTTGGGATCGAGATCGAATAAAAATTTAAAAAATTACTACGGTCACTGAACCCGAACTGCACTAGATGATTTCAACAAATCTAGTTTTGGGATGGGAATTGAGATAAGGGGTAGCCTACGTCCTTCTCCAGGTTTCCATCTATGTCTACACCAAAACTCATCATAATCGGTTCAGTGGTCTAGACGTGAAAAGGTAACAAACAGACACATGGAGCTAGTTTCGTATTTATAATATTAGTCGGGATTAATAGTCTCGTGGTTTGATAAATGTATATATGTATTAAATTGGTTTTTTGAACTTTGATTTATGTGTGAAAGATAGAATAGATAAATGTCATCATTTTTATGATAACCATTTCCGAGTGATATCTATCTGTTACAAAGTAAACAAATTAATATCTGAATTTTTCTATTGTATTATCGAATACAATAGAAAAATACAACAATAAATTCACTTCGTTATTAACAGACACCATTCAATAGTTGGAGTAATAAATTCTTATTAGCTAACGTATTCTGAGTGCATATGTACTGAGATATGGAAAGGTTGGTGCATTTGCACTGAGTCATATGACCTTGTTGTGCCGTATAATTTGTTTCACTTAGTTTCGCTTAACAGATAGTTTAAATTATATATCAGATACTTTTACGGTTACGGATAGAATGACGGAAACCCTTTTGTCTTCTGTTAAAATATTGAAACTGTATGCTTAGTAAATTGCGTCGTCACGCTACATACGAAGTGTTTCTCGTTTCTAATTCAATAATTAATCTACGTTGATGATATAATGTAAAGATTTATGAATGAAAAACTATTAACGCTGCGTTTAAAGTGTGACGATTTAAAAAACGTACTTGGGATAAGTAACCTTATGTTTATGAAAACTAATAAAGATTTGCTTATCAATTTGTTTACCTGTTTTGTATAATATTTATTTGATATAAGTATATACATATACATACAATGATTTGTGTAAACTAATATTTATAGAGCAAGAGCCCGTGAACCCCAGACCTTCGTTATTTTATAAAAGCTGAAAGTTTGTCAGCGCATGCTCCCAACACAGGTAAGAACGAAGGTCCATTATGAAATTCGGGTTGTAGTGGCTTTGGCAGGTAAACGGTACTAAAGGTGTGTAAAATACTAATATAGTTTCGTCAAATTATACAGAGCGATTTTTTGGTATTACCTTTAGAATGTTATTAAAAATCACATTATTCATTACCAGACACTTAACATCGTGGTAACCCCTTGCCAGACCCCCCTAATGTTCAGGGTATAATAATTCTACTTACGTTATAGTATAAAAGCTGATTTTTATACAGGATACTTGGGTAATGAGTAGATGATATTTTCTCAATAGCCAGACATTTTTGATAGTTCCAACCCCTTGCCAGACAAGTATGTAGGGTCGCTGTAGAAACGAGCGCGAGGTAGTATATATATGTGAGTGCGAGTGAGATGGCGAGTTAGGTCTATTGCGATCCCTGAGCGCGCAGCTGATATTTCCACAGCGCATGTATTGTTTAGTGCTCAGTATATGTTTACATCAACAAAAATAATGTAATATGACATCATGAAGCTTTATTAATTTAACATTTATTATTAATTAATAACATAGGATATTCCAAGTACATCAAAACTGGAGTCTCGTTCGAGCCTCCGTAGGGATCGGACGTCTTTTGTGATATAGTGATTAGGGTATGCCGTAACGAGAGCCACTTGCTATCTAACATAACTTAAACTAACATAACCTAAGCTAACCTATTTTAACTAGCTAACCTAAGCTAATATATTTTCAAATTTTTACAGAAACTGACGAAGAAGAAGAAGACCACAACATCGAATGGACCAACAGTGACGAAGAAAATAGTGACATTGATGGTGATTCTGATAGCGAATAAATTAACAGTATCTCTTATACACTATGATACTATGTCATATAACCGATCTATTTTTTTATCCTATGTAATAACTTGTAGTATCACGAATCTGTTTTTAATAAAATTTTTGAATTTTTGAAAAATATTTCTATTTGGTTTTTCTTTTTAACTAGTTACTGGAGGAATAAATTGAAATTTTTAACAATTCCGAGTAGTTGTAGCAACGAATGTCATTTCTGAAGAAATTTTTAAAATTTACATCAGTTATTTGTCACATAAATTGGCCAAAAAGTTTATTTGGATAAGTCATTCTAATCATGAATCTCTTTTTAACATTTACATTGATTGTCCGGCAGAGAGATTGAAAACAGAAAAAAATATCTGCCTAAGGAGGAAACATCATCTAATAACTACCTAAGTATTATATAAAAATGAGCGATTTAATTATAAAGTAAGTAATGCTATTATTGATATTTTTCTTATAATTAATAATGAATATTAAATTTATCTTTAAAAATAGCATATATTAATTTTACTGACATACGCATGTACAAAGTAGTAAACAATACAAGCGCATCTCACTCGCACTCACATATATATACTACCTCGCGCTCGTTTCTACAGCGACCCTACATACTTGTCTGGCAAGGGGTTGGAACTATCAAAAATGTCTGGCTATTGAGAAAATATCATCTACTCATTACCCAAGTATCCTGTATAAAAATCAGCTTTTATACTATAACGTAAGTAGAATTATTATACCCTGAACATTAAGGGTGTCTGGCAAGGGGTTACCACGATGTTAAGTGTCTGGTAATGAATAATGTGATTTTTAATAACATTCTAAAGGTAATACCAAAAAATCGCTCTGTATAATTTGACGAAACTATATTAGTATTTTACACACCTTTAGTACCGTTTACCTGCCAAAGCCACTACAACCCGAATTTCATAATGGACCTTCGTTCTTACCTGTGTTGGGAGCATGCGCTGACAAACTTTCAGCTTTTATAAAATAACGAAGGTCTGGGGTTCACGGGCTCTTAGACTATTAAGTGTTGTCGATACCGTTTGTTTGTCTTTGAATTAAGAATATTGGAATGATGATAGCTTAATTTAGTTTAAATAAAATATTTGAAGCGTAGTTATTTACATCCAAGTACAAAGATCAGTACGCTTAACACAAGTTTTGCGACTTCATACGTAAGGTTTCTCGTTTCTCATTCAATAACATACGTTAATACTATAATGTGCGTAGATTTATGATTAAACTGTTAACGATCTGTTTGTAGTGTGAGACTTGTGATAGGGATAAGACAAGGAAAATGAGTAAAAAAATAATTTTACTCGAGTCATGATGACTTTGCGGTTTTTGAAATAAACATATATACATGTTGTATGTATCTTTAAGGTTTGCAATACTGAGATAATTAAATAATACTCTAATGATCTCATTGCTTTATCAGACTCGAAAATAGAAGCGTTTTAACGAAGAAAGCCTTTATAAAATAATCAAATTATTATACGAATTTTTTTATTTAAATAGAGTTATTGTAATTCTGTTTATTATTGATCTGTTAAATTTTATTTATCACCAACGTATTGTTATATGGATCACTCATAAGATAGCTTCGAACTTGTTTTTTTTTTATTCTGATGCGACCATTTTTTATTCAAATATTATTTTTATGCTAAAATATACTGAATATTGTATTGTTTTATCCTTTTTAGTGTAGTTATTCAATATTTTTATTACACTTTATAATGCTGTTTTTTATCTCTTTTTAATGTGTCATTTCTTAATTGACCTCGCTGTTGAACGGAATAAAGAATGTTGTTATATTTCCAGTACTTTTATACAGGGTGACTGGTGAATTACTATCAATATTTAAGGAGAATACTCGGTACATGATTCTCATTCGAATTATGTAAAAAAAATAGGCACTTAATTTTTGACAAAATTTCCGTATAAATAAGTAAAGTGTTGACACGTTCCAAGTGTTCAAGTGTAGACGCGTGCGGCGGCGTGCTGATACAACACCACGTCACGACACGCGTATGTGTGAGTGTCAGTGTATACCTAATCTGTAGGGTATTCACACGATGCGTAATTAATTACATAACTTTTGGTTAACTTTACTTAGAAGTTTATTAATATTTATGTCATATTAATTTTTATTTTGTCATATATGATCGTCAAATATCACGTCCTCAAATATCGATAGTAATTCACCAGTCACCCTGTATACATATGACTTAGTAATATTACAAAGCATTTATTTAATCACGGTTCCTACATTTTCTATATTTTCTATATACATATTCTAATATATATTTATTCATAAAACAAAATGTAGATAATTATAAATATAGACTACTATCTGTACCCCCGCAGCTTCGTCCGCGTGGAGTTCGGTTATATCGCGTTTCCAACAGAACCTTTCAAAAGTTTGGGATAAAAACTATCCTATGTTCTTTCTCAAGGTCAACTCTATCTCTGTACCAAATATAATTAAAATCAGTTCAGTGGTTTAGGCGTGAAAGCGTAACAGACAGACAGACAGAATTACTTTCGCATTTATAAAATTAGTATTTAGTAGGGATCTACATAACCACCAGTAGTTGTATACTATGTAGTGTATTCAATACTATTTAAATAAAAAACCAAAGGGTATAAATATAACATAATACATACATAACGCCTACAAAATCTTATATTAAATAAAAATTACCTAACATTTCAGGTGACAACAGGAGGTACGGAATCTATTATGATGGCGTGTAAGGCTTTCAGGGATTTAGCATACAGTAAGGGTATAAGTAACCCTCAAATGGTGATACCTACTACCGCGCACACAGCCTTTGACAAAGCTGCCCAATACTTGAACATATCGGTGGTAACAATACCGGTTTCATCAGAAACTTATACCGTTGATATAGAAGCCGTTAAACGAGCTATTGGCAGAAGGACATGTATGGTGAGGAAGTAATTATTATATATAAAAACATATGTAGCTATTTTAACATGTAAATTATTTAAGTCATTGGTTCTCAAACTTGTTTAGTCTATGCCCTATTTGTGAGAATTAATTATTGTATAGTGTCATCATTTTTTGACTTTACCTTATCCAAGCTAAATGAAATTACAAATGAAGCAAGCCTCTTCAAAAAACCCTCGCTTTTTTTGGGTTCTCTTACTACCCCTCTCTAGGGTTACCAGTGCCCACAAAGGGCGTCTTTACCCACTTTGGGAAAGGCTGCTTTAAGTTACATCTTAGTCACTGCAACCCCCAAAAGGACAGCATATTAATATTCCTTTCCACTTGGTAAATATTTTCTTAAACCAGTCTCCTAGCATAATTTCCATCATATCATACATTCTATTCATCAATAAAGTTCCCGAACTAATTGTAACAAACAAACATACATTCCAGATAGTGGGTTCGGCTCCCAACTACCCGTACGGCACTATGGACGATATAAAGTCGTTATCAGACATAGCGGTTGAGTATGACGTGCCATTACACGTGGACGCATGTCTTGGAGGGTTCATAGCTGCCTTTATGCCAGAAGCTGGCTATAATGTACCTGTATTCGACTTCAGACTGCCAGGCGTTGCCAGTATATCAGCTGATACCCATAAGGTGTGGTAAATCCTACTAATATTATAATTGCGAAAATTTGTGAGTGTGTGTATGTATGTTTGTTGCTTCTTCACGCTCAAACGGCTGAACCGATTTTTATAAAATTTTGTATACAGGATGCTGACGTCCAGGAATAATACACTTTACATCCCGGAAATCCGCGGGTACCACGGCGGGGCGCAGCTAGTATATCTATACAAT